GTCATTCCCGGAACCCAAAGCTGGCACATTCACTGGCAGGCCAGTGCACACCGCTGTTGTGTGCAGATAATGAACGATTTTTCGCGCTGGAATTAGGCGCCCGTCGTATGCACGGCGCGTTTGTATACCTTAACCAACTCGGTGTTGCCACCCCGTCCGGAGTAAATGATTTGTAGGTGCTTATCAACACGGCGCTGTGTATACATCGGTTAATTCCTCAGACGCGTTGTACCGGCCACAGCAAGTGCTGGCAAGCCCCCGTAAAACTAATAAATCACGTGGAAAACTGGCGAACGTTCTTCGAAGAAAGATGTCAACTGTGGAGTTACCAGACCATTAAAAGGTTGGGCCTAACTTGCGAAATTCACATTGATTTTGTCAGCATCAAATTGGCGCACGTGTGTAACAGACATGGAGGTTACTGGGATGGAAAATGGTCAATGTTTTTTTTAAAACTCTTATGGCGAGCCCCGGTGCGGCTATAGGGAACCACACCAGGGCCGGCCTAACCGAAAGAAGGAGTGAAAAATGCAGTTGGCGAGTCGCTCAACCAATTTTTAACGCAGCAGCAGTGCGCGTGTACAGAGTAGCAGGTGCGTTTATATAGCCTCGCTAAGCATCGATCCCTGAACGCGCAGAATTGCCTAAAGTACGTTCACGAAAATCGATTGAATCGTGTTCGCTCTCGCTTGTTGTGCGCACTGACTCGGTCCGACCGCAAAAAGTCAATCAATAAGAAACTTATCGATCTTAGCGCTCAGATTATGTCAGCAGTGACTAGATAATCAGCGTTTTAGTTCAAAAACTACAACATTTGTTTGATTAAATACACTCTTGACGAATTAAAGCGCCGGGTTTAAATTAAATGCGGTTGGTTGCACCCTACGGAGTCAGTGCGGTCTGAAAATCTCGCGATATCATGTCAGTTGAAGTAGTAAACACCCAGATCGCTACCGAAAGCTTCAAAAAGGCACATTCGGAGTGTTCGGTGTCAGACCCATTATCTGCGTATTCGCGTGTGTTTACGTTTTCCTCCGCCAAACTACGCAGACCAATTAACGCCGACTAAATGGCCTTCTGCGCAGCGTGTGTGGCAGTCTGCCTATCAGAGTTCGGCTTTTTTGTGTAAGTTTAAGCAACGTCGGAGGCTAACGAAATTTGCAATTCTTTTTCAAATCGCGATGGAGTGACTTTGCATTGGATATTATCGATTACTTGAAATTCCCTGATCGAAGGGACTTGAAGTCATGACTGCATTTGTTCACCCCCAAGGCCTTGTTTTAATTGGTGGTTTTAGGCAAAAACACACTAATCGGATGAATCAGAACGGATTCAGTAAATATTTTAGCAAAAATATACACACGCAAGCACATTCAGACCTTGGAAAAAGCGGCAACTGGCGTCAACCTGAGGCCACAACAACTGTTGGCCAGACGACTTAGTGAGAAATCGGCAGAGAACTGAAGTGTTAGTGATGTGCGAAGGGTCGGGTTGGGAGTGCGTCAGTTGGTGTCGTCGTTACCGCTGGTTAAAACATACCACCACCGCCGCAGCCATGGTAACAATGTGGTCTCGCCAGTCCTGTTTAAATGGTAGACGTTGGGTGTTTCCCTAGTTAAAAGAGTGACTGTGTGTGTTTGTGTGGAGGGGGGAATGTGAGACATATTAGTCACTGCTTTCAACAGTTAACTGCGTGAGGTTTTTTTCACTGGAAATGTTTACAAAACGCAGCACCACTCCCGGCTATCATCGTCATTATCAATTGGTTAGTTAAATAACAAAACGTGTGAGGTGATATCGCGCATTTTTAGGTGTAACTTTCAACCAGGAGGGCTGTAGTGCTTTAAGTGTCGCATGAAAAACGGAAATCCAACTGCCATGGGATATAAACTCATTAATTTCTAAATAAACAAAAACAACTTTTCCTAAGCAGTGAAGAAGAAAAGATTATTTTTAATTAATTGAAAACCGACGTTGTCTCTAAAATACTGTGGCAGGGTAAAGTGTTAGGTGGCAAAAATAGCCTTCTAAGAAGCCAAAGGGGAATGTCTTTGAACAAATGCAAGGTAAAAAAACATAATAAACTGAAAACCGTGAGTTCTGCCATCAGTCCTTCACTCTTAGCGACTGATTTTGCATGCAGGCGAACCTTAAGAATGAGTCGATGGATGAAACCGTAATAATTGCATTCGAAACAAACCTTGTCATTGAACATTGGGATTTGTACTGTATCATACTACATTTTGGCCTAATAATTCTTCACGCTGGATCGCATGGTTTTGTGGTAATGTGATTCCTTGATCCCTCACGATCGATATTTGGGAATTTGAACCAACCAAAATCAATGCATTCAGATTTGCCGAATCAAAAGCCATCAGTGAAATCAGAGGTAGCTGAGGTGATCTGGAAAGTTACTGTCGGTTTGTTTTGCGTCTTGGATAACACAAACGTGCGTTCATGCCTATCTTTTCTGTAAATTGGCAACGTTATAAGGTGTACTAAATGGTCTGCCAGTGGATTCGCTGTGTTTAGAGGGAAAATCTATTAAAGTCCAAACCATTTAGATCTACTCACATCCTCCTACTTTATTCCTATTGGCAACTTTCACCTCCACAAGGAGAGGATGGTGTTTCTTGCATAAATACTGTTACGTGCGTCACCCAGACTTTATCGCTCGAGTCTACTTGGCATAATAACTTCCGGTTGCACAGTGTAACACTTCAGCCTCTATGCTGAATCCCTACAGTGGGAGTTTTCGACCAATACACGATTTCCTTTCATATTTAGAGATATTGCTAGCCTTCAAGTAAGCCTCATTAATAAGACTCGAAGGCTAACATGCCTCATTTTCTGGCTTCTCTTTCGACCGTAAAGCGGACAGTAGGGGGAATCAATTGATGAGAGGGTAGACACCGAAAGCATGAGTAAGACAATTTTGCGCGCGATATAAACTTAGTAACTTGTCAAGCCGCTGACCACAATTCCTGAACAAACACGCTATCAGATTCGTCACGCCTTTCTTCTACTGCCATTCCCAAGCGCAAACGGCGTATCGGCGGGCTGCAGACAGCGATGCACACAACGGCCCTGTCCAGTCCTGTTTGTAGTGCACGCGTAGGCGTCGCGACCCCCCATTGTACTAATTCCTTCCGGATTAGGGGCATCTGTTGTCGTGACGCTCCCTCCTACCAACTCAGATCAACGGTAGTACAAATTTAAATTCACTGGATTAGTAGACAAGAACGGTGGTGTGTGAAAAAGTCACACTCATTAACCCGGTGATTTCTGTATAAATTAACACGATGGCAACAAACAAGTGGGGTGCCAATTTCACTTTGCGCAGCAGGCATGCGTACATCTGACTCTACGCAATTCTTAGTGCTCGAAAAGCTCGACGTTTCGAAGGCAATTAGAAACTAAGAGCTAGCTTTCATTCCAACTGGTTGCAAGTTCAATTGTTTAAACATCAAAAAGCTGACTCAGTAAAGAATACGTCTAGTTTCATTCGATTAAATAATTTGTAATAAAAAATAATCGAAAATGTCCCTGGGTTACCGCGTGTGGGCTCAGCTTCAATCTGTAGTTCCTCGAGTTACTCAAAAGTGTCTTCCAGATTCTAGATTTAACCACAAATACCCTAAGACTTGACCACGTATATTATCTATCATTTGTGAAAAATTTTAGACCCTTCACTGGTCATACTAAAAGTATGTTAGTACGCCTTTTAAAGGTGAGGTTGTAGGCCAAAGCATGCGCTCTTGAACCACGACGGGGCCGCGGAATTGACCCTTGTTCGATTGCGTTTCCCTGATACCCGTGATGAAGAAAAAGATTGGAGAGGACGTGGACACAACCGTTTACTTCAGAGCCCAATCTCGTTGGTGTCGTTGTGTCGTGTGTGGGGTTTGCGCGTGTGTATTTATACCTCGGATGTGTGGGTCGTACATGCGCCAGCATCGAGATCTCGGTGTGAGGATAATCCAAGATAAATATCCGTGTGAATGGGGGGGGGGGAATCGAGGATCCGCGCGGCTGGCGACGTACTGCAAAAAGGGGAATTCTGTGTCGGAGGTGGAGCGACCGGATTAAGGGATGTGAATAAACACGATTCACAACCATGCCATCTATTAGTGTTCGTGCATTCTTTGTACATCCAACAAATTGATGTTACTTCTGGCGTCCGCAAAGTGGGTTGACCGACTTCCGTTTTTCTGTTAGCAAGTGATACAAAAACAGGACTTCATACACGTCCCACGCAATATTAACCTTTAAAGTCGTCTTTTGGGATGCGTGACTGCCTGCACTTGAGGCTTTGATAAAAGTTTTGACAAAAACTTTTGCCTCAACCTCCTACACATGTGTTGCCTAATAATAACCGTAATAACTGGTGGCTTTGATCGAAAGTCGGAAATTCGGTTTGCTGATTTGAGTGACTTTCGCTTGAAGATCTCTTTAAAGCGCAACCTTAGCTGCAGTTCGAAATGGTCAAGTCTGATTTGCCCGATTCACATTGTCGCGGATTTATGTTGCAGTTAGCCGGTGCACAAGTGCACTTATCATGTCTGGCAATTTAACTTCTCGTCAGGACTAGGGCAGAGACAAGACACAAACGGGACGCTGCCTCTCCAAACTAGGACACGACATGACCTCGTACAGAAGGTTTTTACCGTCGCAGCCATAGGCCGAGGACGCGTTCAGATTCGCCCACGTATATTTTGCGTGGGTGGCCTCGACTGGAATTAAGAGTAATTGCACATTTAAAGACGAAAGGGCCAATAGGAAAAAGGCAGTCGATACGAATGCAAAAATGGTGTGCATGGATGCAGAATAATAATGGAAGGTAGAAAAAGGTAAAAATCTTGGGAAATAATTCTTCGCTACTCCGAATCCCAAACAATTTTAGCCTCCAACAGGTGATGCCTAATTAATATTTCGCTGATTATCGATTTTCTTGCATAAAGATGAATTTGGCCGGTACTTTTACAGTGTTAACATACACTATGGCAGCCTGCTTTGACATTAACAAAAATGTCACGAAAGTTGTGTTCGGCTTCTTGTGCCCGTGCCTCTGTAAGTTGGTTATGTCATAGAAGTCGCTGTCCAAATAAGAATGTTTGTTTACTTAATGTCCGACTTGGATTTGTGGGAATTATTAATTGTCAACCTTCAAGTGAATCATCCCCGGATGGGAATAGTTATTCAAATTCTCCTTTATTTAAATATTACAGGGATTTAAAGACACGAAGCCCATGATATTTGGCAAAGTACAATTCAATGCACACTAAATCATTCACGGAAGATAATTTGAAGAACTGCAAACACCAAAAGCTGATCACCTAGCACCATCAGATTGTCCGAATTTGTGACAAATCGGTGACATTGTAAAAGCTTTTTGCTTTTTTGTGGCTGGAAATGAAAGTACAACATTACCTAGCTCACTGGAAGTAGGCGTTCACTTGAATGCTTGGAAAGCTGCTTAGAATAGGCTATCTTTCGCGGAATCACTGGTTCTGAGTTCTCAGAGTAATGGCACTTCTATTTAAAATAAACACCTGTTAATTCTGGTTGGTCCTGTAGCGGATTAACAGCGACCGCGCCTGAGTGAACCCTGTTTACTGACCTGACGGTGACAATGACTCATCCCCTTTCCATTGGCTGATGTTGTCAAGTGCCTGTCATCCGTTAACTCATCCACACACTCGGCTGGTGTGACGCTAATAAACGGTCGTGTCCAATGTCGCCTCTCTTCTCTCCATTCTCGAGTTGTCACGGGCTGTTAACTAGAGGGTTGTAAGGTTGTGCTTGGACCATAAGCTACTATAGTGCCATCGTTGAGAGGTTTGTTTCATTTAACTCATATCCACATTATCGTTGCGACTTTTGCCGGCTTGTGATTGTCTTCATGTGCTAGTTGAGTGTGGGCCAGGGTGACTGGTGGCATCGTTTCAACAGCTAGGGTCTTGTTGGCAGGAGCCATCTAAAACATCTCACTGCTTATCTAATTTCCTTAGACGGTGTTTTTATTACAAACCTTTTATATTTGTATACCAGAAGACAGTTTCTATCGTAGGCAGCGAATTCCGGATCTCCTTTCCCTGTTTCGAAACCTTCGACCATTAAGTCCTGATGCCAGGTCAGTTCCGATTCCTTTCCTAGGTCATCAATCCTTGCACAGACGCTGTACGACTGTTCGAGATTTCTGACTTGGCATTGACATCAGCTCCACAGGAATGCAGTAGAGAATGATGTGATCATCGCTAGCCGAAATTGGTGCAAACAGGGCCGACAAAGCCTTCACTCATGGACCACGGGATCGCCTTCATCCTAGTTGTAAGAATGGACATTTAAACACCTCTGAGGGTTCCGAAAGATCGCGCTAATTAAGTCACATTGAGTTAGTGATCTTAAAATCGAGGCTGATGCACAAACTACACACCTGGTCTTCGAGTTAATAGCTAGTTTTACAAAACGAGGACAGATAAAATCGGCACCACCTCCCTAGAATTATATTAATTTGTCAAATATTGGTGTTTCTTCAAATTGTCACATTCCGTTAAGCGCCTTAATCGACTTAAACTGTAAGTGAATTGGGAGCCCTCTCACAATCGCCACGATGGCGCAGCTGCGCAGGCTGACATGCGTTGACTCAACCCGAGTAAGGCATCGTTATCAAAAGACCGTATATCGGTCTGTCGATAAGGTCCGGCAAGACCATGTGATTTTGACCGAATCATCTCTGCCAAATATCTTTTCACATCGAAAATTGTAAAATGTGCGATAGCGCCTAGCGTCTTTTCCTCTCAGAACTACACCAAACACTGTCATTCATCCTGAATTCCGCTGCGATCCATAACCCTCCCATGAAAGGACCGTGTGATTTCAAATTGAGGTTAAATTTCTTAATTGTAGTATTTAGTAAAGTTTCCAGGTTACGCTCGGCTTTAAATAATTGTATTTCACAGGTTACATCATTTTTAGCCATGTTGTTTTTGCAGATTTCCGCATTCTAAGCGTTCCTTGACGCCATTGAGAAGCAACTTTACAGTCTCCAACTCCATCCGCCGACTCTCGAAGACAGGCCGATCAAGGAGCACTTGCGAATCATTGGCCGGGGACCCCACGAGGGGAACATCGAATTCAATCTTAGTTCGCTGACCTGATAACTTTGTAGACAGAATGCGTTTACTACTGTTTCATTCTTCAGTGACGAAAGCACGCCCAGCAAAAAACAGCAAAGCATCACTAGAATGCTGCTGCCCTAAGACAAGAAGCTTCAACTAACAAAACTTGCAAGGAGCATGTTAGTTGGGAAAGCAGACACGCTGAAATTGGCGCCATTGGAGCACTGTTCACCGCCCAATCAAATTAAAATGAGAACCAGAAAAGAAATAACGAGGTAATTGTTTCAGTGTCTAACAGTAGATAGAATAAAATGACAACACAAAAAGCCCTCGCGTTGAACGTTAAACCGAAATTAACTCATCGAGTTTGAGAGCTGTTAAAATCCCGGTTTTCATTTATTGGATTCCTGATGTGCGATCTACGGTCCTCCGCTGCCACATTATTTGTGTCCACAACTGGGTAATTTTTTACCCACACACATATCCGCCTAGCTCGCTTTGTGCCTCGGTGGAACTAGAAGCTGTGTGCATTAGTTCCACGTTCTTAGCGACATCAAGATTGCCACAACGAAATCTGCATGACGATTGTTCAACTCACTTAGCTGATACCCAAGCCTGCAACTTATCAGAACGCTAGAGGGCAGGTATCTTATTGATTAAATTGAGATGGATCCCACTTCTGAATTTCATAAACTGTCACTGTGAAGTTGTTAGTTGAAACAATGTATCTGCGTCGCGTGGGTCAAGGCGCCTTCACTTCGTTTAATTTCAAACACAGCTTTGAACGAGTTACCCTTTTGGGCAAGTCTGAAAATGTCGCCTTAACATAGCTGGGAGATTTCCAGCTACTGCTCCTGAAGGTGGCAACCTGATAAAAGTCTTGAATGGTTTGTATTAAAATGACTTTCTCAATTTTAATAAACCCCGTTTTGCGTAATTGATTTGTTAAAATGAAACTGCATTCGATGAAACCAATTCTGGTGAAGCTGTTTTATAATTAACGCATCACTGCGTTGTACTAATGACAACTATGTCGGAAATGGCCTGTCTAGATGCGCCTAGTACCAGTACAGTCGTAAATGGGCTATAATGCGCTTATTACTACGGTCCCATAATTCCCAGCCAATCATCTGACTCCAAAATTAGCCTGGCGAACGCTCACTACAGTGACACAATGATTATTCATGCTGCAAAATTACAAGTGGCTCATAAAATGGCTGGCTGTACTGTTACATACGCCGCGCACGCGACAAATGTGTCTTGAGGGAATTATCTCTGCCATAATTAGCATTAACGCAACCCCCATGGACTTCTCCTATTCTGTGTGCGTGATTGTGCTGTGTTGTGAATGGCAAAAGTGATTATCTACTTCTTAAAGGTACACTAGTGTGCCATTGGGGCATCGTCTCTTTACTCCCGCCATTTGACTTTCAAACTGTTCGTTAAAGCATTAATTTAAGATGAGTAAAATTTGTTAGAAAAAATCAAGATGTAATCCACCAAAACTTGACTAGTCTCAATTGAAATGTTACCGCACTTAATGTCTACGATTTTGTTTTACCTCCTCCTCCTCCTCGGATGTGGACAAATGTTTTGCACACCTTCATTCCGACCATCTTTGCTTGTTGTCATTTTTCTTTCAGTTCAGTCGTTTGCATTATTAGAGCAACTAAGGGGTGTGGCTAACTCCTGTTTGATTGGACAGCTCCTCTGCCAATGACCACGCACTCGCGCTCGGCCACTTTTAAGATCCCCACAACTCTAAGTGGAATCTTCGATATATTTGTCGAAAATCATAATTAATCATTTCAAATCCAAACGTTCGCCCACATCTCCAGACGTCAATGCTCTTTCCATGCATGTCGCTTTTGACATAAATACTTGTCACTTGTATTTTCACGATTAATTTTGGGATCTCTGCTTTCTAATTTGTAGCCTAAGCGGCGGTGTAGCACTACGGTCCAAAATCTGCAAATTTCTACCCTCAGTTCTACACCCTTGGATAGACATCAATGGCATTGGTTAGTCGGTCTTGTGTGTGTGTGTGTGTGTGTATGTGAAAGTTAATCCACTTTGGATGCAAATGCACGTTTCCAGTGGGCCCTGGAAATAGGAATAAATTAATAAACACGAAGTCCCATTCTTTCCAAGCGATAAAAGGTGGAATTATGGACACACAAGCGGCCCGGTCAGCAGTTTTAGGTCAGGCATGTCGTCTGGCGAGTTCTTGAATGCTACATTTTGGCGCTAGCAGACTGCAACATAAGGCACGAATTCGACTAGCAACCTGTCACTAAAAAGCTGTTGTATTGTCACCACAGACACAAAAAGTGCCCAGGAAGTGGGAATTAGCACTAATTGGGCTGTTAGTGCCATTTTAACAGATGTAAATATAAGAATTGGGCACTTTATGCAATTCAGAGTGCCCAAAATTGGTTTTAGTTAGCGAATACTTTTTGAAAGCTGCTGCAATTGTTGACACCCTTTGGCCGAATTTGGGTTCAGCAAATTAGACAGTATTACCTGAATTTGATTTGTAAAAGACCTCTGCGTCCAGCCAATGGTTGGATAATCTGACATTCGCGACAAAATGTCCATGCATTTATTGCATTGAATGGAAGCGACACACAACTAAAAGGTTAATCGACATTCCAGACCACTTCCAAAAGTCTCCTAGACTTTTGGACGCGGCCAGGCTTATGATAGAAGTTTTTTTTCATTAGGAAATAAAAATTATTTTGGACCCCGATTTCTTCTGAATTATGCACGTACTTATTTTTTTCTTTTCTGCAAAAAAGAGCTATTTGAATAGTACACTTGAAAGTATCAATTGAAGATTCACCCAATGGGTACTTCAACGTGATCGCGACACGGTGGAAGAGGTCCAAGTAACTACTGGTTCATCTCATTCTAAATACGAAAAATGCAGTTCAATCATTCCTGCGCCAAGTTCGTCTCGTGCACATATAGAACGCAAAAAAATAACTAGTGGGCATCTTAGTAATAAACGCTTCGCAGTTTGGTAAATTTTTATCGAACGATCGTGAGTGGAGCCCATTCACGAGTTGATCGAATGTTATCGATTGTCGATATTCACTCAAGCGCTGTGCTGTAAAAGACTTAGGTGGTCAAATGTGAATGAATCGTTACATTCGCTATCATCTCTCTGGCCTTTCTTCTTGGGCTATTACGGGCTGTCAACTAGCAGGGTCGTAAGGTAGTGCTAACGAGGCCGCTACATGTCCACTTCGATAAATGTAATCACCTAATCCTCTTCCAGGAACCAGAGGCCACTTACTCGAACAACACAGAACGGCTGTACAAAGGCGTGCGGGAGGCCCGCATCTAGCGGAAGGAACACTGTCAACAGCCAGTTGACTCGTCAGGCGGTGAAAAGGACGTCACGAAAGGGGGTGGTTGCAACCGCCTGCGCAACGGCCTCGCCACCGTACCCTCCGAATCAACAAGTTGCATGGACGCCACCGCAATGGCAACCTGGGGAGGAGATTCTGAGCGCGACGACAACGACATCGAGGACGACGACGATGACGCTGTGGCTGGCGAAGAATTCATCGAAGATGTTCCAAGCGTTGTTAGCTCCAGGAGCAGTCGGGCCAATAAGCGTTTTGTCACAGCTAGTAGCTGTTCAGATATTTTCGTTGTTCCTCTCATGCAAGCGTATGCGTCAAATGCTTCTGACGAGTAGTCAAATAATGCCTCTAGTGTTTTGCGATGCGTAAACGTACTTAACGTCGGCAGAAGGCACATGTCGCTCTCAGTCCAACAGCAAACATACTAGTACTGCGTAATCCTTTCTGTGATCTGCATGGTTGTGTCAATGCAGTCTCTTTATCAAGCCCGGCCATTAGCACATTTTAGTGTACGCACCGGCAATAACTAGTCTGATTGCGCTAAATTACACCATCATTCCTCTTTACAAATGGGCTTGTCAAGCATTAAACGCTGACGAGCTTCAAAGTTAAATTAAATTACAGCGCTGTCCTAGAAATGTTCTCTTCCATTTTCACGAAATGAGTCGTTGACAATTTGAAAATCAGTTTTTTTTGTTAAAATTGAATCTGCCATCGCACAACGGTGATGTGGCTTCTTCTAAAAGATGCAGGGGAAAAATAGAAAGTAAGTTGGGGATTGATTCATGATGGAACTGACTTTTGAAAAATCTGACAGAAGGAGAATTCACAAATCTTGCTTGGTGAAACTCCCATCGATGCTGCATGTAGCAAAGCCACGGTCTAAACTTGGGTTATTTGCAAAAGTGGACTGCTTGCCAAATGAAAGGCTTTGCTTAAGTTGGCTTGGCATCACAAACGTAGACTAGGGAGTCGTGGAGCAAAAATGTGAAACATGTTTTCTGGGTATCTACTTTCTTCAAGACAGCTGTAATTATGTGATGTATGTGAGCATCAGCGCTGAAAGGAAAAGAGATGTTCGCGGAAAATATTCTTGCCAACTCGCGCAACACGCAAGTTTTGATTTGAGAAGAACCACAATTTCCGGCTAAATTAATTCCCTAATGGCAACGCCAAGCAAAATTGGATTGTTTGAGAATTTGCCTGCTTGACAACGGAAATTTTCTCAAGCAAGTTGCATCGAAGAAAAGCACGAAACGCAGTGGACAACTTAAGTATATTATCGACGAATTTTTGCTGGTGTAATTTTAGTGGGTTAGACATTCACCTCCTCCACTGGGTTGAGAGAAAGGGTAGGGTGTATGATCGTGTTGTGCAATTCCACTGAGAATAAAATTTATCCGCTGGCTACGATGTTGAGTAGTTAAGGGATTCTGCAACATTTGGGAAGACTATCCGCGTTTAAAGCTTTCAACAGGACATGTTTCACTTTTATTCTAGACTTGAAGCAGCAACCGAAATTAACCATAATGCCATTAGCCAACAGAGTATATTTGCGATGTTGATTCAAATCTAGCACGACTTTCTAACGACGCCTGCAGAGTCAACTGAGCAAGCAGCTATGAATTAGCTTGACATTAAAATGACTGGGGGAATCGGGGACTTTTTAACTGAAGAGCAAGTTTCAGAATGAGAATAAGTGTTGCTGGTTTAGATCTAAATTCTTTCCATTGCTCTGGGACATCTCCTCATTCAAATCAACTAATTCTACCGGCTCGCCTGGTCAACGACGCTTACCCTTACGTGATTTTTCATCATATTTAACCATCTCAAGCCTATTTAGAGGAAATCAAACGTTAATTTGTGCTTTTTACACAATTTCGGACCGTTTTACTGCTTTCTCGGATATGAAAGTAATCAATTCAGGAAGCAAAGCTATTTTTAAAAAAAAAATTAGCCAACTGATAACATACCTCATCGCAAACATTGCCATTACTGGAATGAATCTAAACCCAGTAGAGTCTGAAAGCAATCATATTTAGACAACGAAGCCCAGTTTGGCTTCAAAGCCACTCAGAAGAGGTAACAAGGTTTGCTGTTTTAAGAATTTGCTTTAATAAGCATGTAAGCTCTGATCACCCCACGAAATTTAAACTACAAACCACAAATACGGGCAGAGGAAAGTAACATGCCAATATGGCAGACCTTTTCAGTATCTGCCTGTGCAGCGCTTCATGTAATTTAAAATTTTTTTTAAAAAACGTACAAGTGAAACACGTTTCGTGTAATTCCACGTACCACAGCACTGACTCGTACTAGGACTGTGTGCTATTAGCAATTGGTACAACGCACCCAGCTATCCAACATCTCAGGGTAGATAGGTGTTTCATCAGTATCTCTGATCAGTGACTCTCAATTTCTACTTGGTCTGTTGATACTTGACGTCTAGCTCACAAAGTGCCTGGTGGTAGATCTAAATAAACTGAATGATTCGTTTGGATCAGTTAATCTTTCATGTAAAAAGACTTTGCTTGAACTAGCAACGGTTCTTAAAAAGCAGAGCCTCGTCGCGCTAACCAACAATGATGGTTCATTCTTGCTTTCCACAACACTGAGGAGAACTTTCCATCATGAGTAGCACAATCATTGTCAAGAACTTATTCACGATCCACTGCCATCTGCTACCTGGCATATTGTCAGCGCCGCCTTCTAATTGATTACCTACACTGCATTCGCGTCAAGGTCTAGACCGTATCTCATCAATCTTAATTACGTCGCTGTGTAGCCCCCTTCAGTCTTTCGAATGCGGAGCCAACTTCCTTGGAACGCGGTGTGCAAATGTTCACTTTGCCTCTCCGTCTGTGATATCCACAACTTTACCGACCGTGAGCATGCCCGTGCATTTAGGTTGCTCCTCTGAAACTTGAAAAGGTTCTATTTCATATTGTATGGGGTTTCTGTCTACATCGAAGTCACCTTTATTTAAGGATTGCCATAACACTTATGTTGAGAAATGTCCCGAAGATCGTGATTATTTTAAAACGCAAAAGGTGTACTTGTTAACTTGAACAACCTGCGCAGGAAACATTGATTCTTAAACTTGCATAACGTCCTCGGGTTGCCTTTCAACAGCTTAATTTGGACTGCTTCGTCGGACATAACGGTTTTCACCTCAGCCGCAAAAGTTTACTTTGGACGTGTACTTGCGATGCTAGCACTGACTGTAATGTCAAAGGAGATGGATTCACGCACCATGGCAAGCGGATGAGACGCCCACACTCCCTTTCTGTCAATCCGCCTCGAGGAAATTGGCCAGGATTACAAAGTCAAAAGAAATTCTTGGTTGAATTTGCGAATCCAAGTTCCAAGCGTCCGCTAAAACAGTGTTTTCCTTAATTGTATCAAATGTTGGCAATAAAAACTTTCCATAGCAAGTGTGGCTTCAAAGATTTAGTGAATAAATTTTCAACGGAGTTTTTACATATGCACCTGCTACTTGGAATATGGAATATGTGGACCTACACAACCGCTCAAGACAAAATAATCTAGTGAGTAAATGAAAGGTGGTGCCTCCACTCCCACTCCACTGAAATTCACGGATCTAAGGAGATTCGCCATCTCACTAACTGTGACATTAAATCACCTGCTCCATCCCTAGCTACGTTTGTATTAGAAACAATTAGGGACTGACTGTTTACTAACCTGCAAATTTGCCTTTGATTTGGCCATTGAATTCGTGGAATTTTTGCACAAATTTCAAATGTCGGTACTAAGTGCAGGAGTTCGAAAGTTGGTGCCTAGGTTTATGGAGGGATAGCCTACACGTACATCTTTACTGCGTAAACAATCGTGCACTACGACCGGGTACCGGCAAGTAGTTCACTTCGCAAAGGAGTTCATGGAGAGGGGTAGTCCTGAGTGATTTGTGGTCAGCACGACTGTGTGGTAACCGCTAGCATAAATATATCTCCTGATAGAAATCAGTTCCTGCAAGTAGATCCAAATTAACGCCTACCTAGTGGTTTACTGAAGGCAACATTGTATTTTAGACTAGTCTCTCCGGCCCATAGGCACGTGTAAATGAAGTGGTTCTATTCTCTAATCAAGACAGGATTTTCACAATCTATAAGTCCACACATGAGAAGGCATGATCGCATTACCCACGGCAGTGTAAGCCTTTTAGACGGTTGGGTACTAAGTGGGCTTAGGTTGTCCATTAAAAAAATGTCACAAATACTTCCGCTAGCAGTCACAAACAGGATGCGTAAACAAAAACGGCTTCAATGTGTTTATCAACCAACCGAAAAAGCGGTGGAGGATGCGTGATCAAAACAATCAAAAGACCGTCTGAATGTTTCTGGGTCTAAAAGCGAAAAAAATACTTTAAATAGGGTTGTGAAAACAAATTTTCTAGGAATGCAGTTATCACATCGCAAGTGGCTCCTGAGGACCATGCTGCGTCTGAAAGTCCGCCTGTCAAAGTTTCAGAGGAATCGTTAACAAGGTGCTCTAACTTTTGAAAAAAAGTACAAAAATACCTACGGCACAATGCGGAAGTGGTGTCGAATCTGTCCGTCTTCAACAAGTTAACTGATGCAGAAATCACGGAGTTAATTAGTGCCAAGTTTTCATACAAAATCGTTTTTTTCGCGAACCCTCACTCTGCGACTTAGGCAACAAAAATTTTCGAAAATATTCTGTGAAGTTTTTCCGAATTTTGATTTTGTTGTCTAAGAAAGCCATGGTATGCGACAGCTCAAACTTAGAACTTGGACAAATTTGCCACCTTCACAAGAATGCACTTTTTCGAAGAGCTTAATTGAGTCTGGCCAAAGTTGCCATCATACTCTAAGCAAACGAGTTTTCAATTTGTAGATACCTCTGGCTGCATGGCCATAATGCTCTTGTGAAAAAATTAACGACGATCTGGTGTTGACATGGTGAAAACTCATTGAATAGACAGCCCCATGAAGTGATTCCAGCTTCGTCTTTTCAGTATTTGTCAAAATGCCTGTTCCCAAATGTGTGCCTCGGACAAACCGTGTTATATCGTGCTAAAACCGATTGTTCGGTTATGAACTTGTTTTATTTTTCATTTTGTGCCTAGATTACATTAATCCTTTATGAAAACAAAATCAGTGCTGTTTTGCTTAATTCATTTAACTCGAGTGTCACTCAAACTGCTTGCAACCTCACTATTAATAGCTGCAATTAAGCGAGGTGAAACTACTGTTTCTGACTGATTTTATGCCAAATTGGAGTGTCAGGTTGGCATCAACCCCAGTTTCCGAAATGTCCGTAGTCCAGATGTCCTCTTTTGGTCTTGTTATTGGAC